GAGATGAACGCGCCTGCGTACCTTTCACTGGCACGCTTTATGCCTGTATAGTATGATGGGAAGAAGTATTGTTTTTGCCAAAGAGAAAGACACAATAAAAGATCCATATAACGCGGTCCAGCGCCGCGCGCTAAGTATTCTCAATGCGTCCCATAATAGAACATTTAATTATTGACTCTTGGTATTATGACAGCTTACATTACTAGACCCATGATGTAAAATAACGGGGTACTGACGGCAAGATATTTAGCACATACACACACCACACACCCCGCACGCCGCCACGCTACTCGGCACCACACACCGCCGGTACACATCACTCACCATCACAGGCCAGGGCCACACACAACATCACGCACCACCCGACACAGCAACGCACGGCACGCAGCCGCAGCAGGCCGCACGGCAACAGATACAATAGGCCTACACGTGCCGCGCTCATGGAGCGGTATTCGAGTTTAAAGCGTGCATTGGCCGCGGTCTCTAATGTTGACATTAATACGTTATATATTAAATCAACACGTTAGAATATACGGCGATATCCGTAATTTACAAGCCAATATTCGACTATATAATATGCCTCTCTATATCCGCTGCGTGTGTCGCTCGTAACAGCCGAAATCTCTAATTGGGGATTTTTTTTTGCGTGGAGGTGGCAGAGTGTCTGTATCATACTACCAGAAGGGTTGGTATCGAGTGCATGGACGGCTCGGTACAGGCACTTGAAGCGTTTTCAAGTAAATATAATGCTAAATAAATACGAAATCTAATTTACTAGTAGTAACCTAGTAGAGTACTACCAAAGTCTTATGTTCTATTCTCTCTTTCCATCTTATTATTCCGACAATCTTCCTGTAAAGCCGTCGCCAAATGCTCATCTACACAACACTGCCTGCCGACCAAGGCCATTGCTGCCGCTGCAAGTGTCTGCCACACTGACACTTTACTATATATTACCCTACAGTAACTAGTATCATACAGTAGTATCTGAACAGCAGTAACATACTAGTACTACGTGCATACGTACTAGTGTAGGTGTACTAGCGTATGTACTAGTGTGCATACGCATACATGTAGCATACAATAAGAAACATTTGTGTGTGTGTGTGTGTCGTGTGCTATTGGTGTGTGTGTGGTGTGTTGTGTGTGTGTGCTGTGTGTGCTGTGTGTGTGTTTTGTGCTGTGCTGTGGTAGGTGCGTGCTGTGTGTCGTGTGTGCTGGTGTGTGGTGTGGTGTGTGTGTGATGTGTAGTCGGTGTAGGTGGTCGTGTTGTGCTGTGTGTGTGTTATTCACTGATGGTACTTGCCAAACAAATTATTGTACTGTAAGCAATGATGACATGTATCTCTATGATATCGCGTACACACCATAGAACAAATAAAGCAGTGTGATGACAGAATGTCATATAACACCTTCACATAACTACTACTGGTAAACATGCGGGGGGAACGGTATTTCGGGACGCGGGATTCGGCTCATTTTAATTACCTGGGAACTGGGATAATGTGCACAGCTAAATTGTTCCGCCTGATTCGGAATAGCAAGTACGCAGTCGGGCACGTGGAAAAGACGCCTCTAAAATGTCTTGATGGCTGGGAAAGCGTTGTGTCTCATGTCGTCGCGGAGTGTCACTGTGTCTGCGTAATATTTTTTTGGAAATATTTAAAAAAATTTTTGTTTTATTAACTTATGCTCGCAGATATAATGAAGTAATAGTATGTAAATATTAGTATTTAGGCTTATGTATGTAGTGTTTGAAAACCTAAACTACTGAATTTCCTGAAACATGTCTACATAATTTCCTGGGAACTGGGAATTGGGATTTTATTTTACTGGGAACTGGGATATGGGGTGTTTTTTGCTGGGAAAGTGGGAATGTACCCCCCCGTTCCCCCCCTCACACATGCATCACAGTCACTAAGCCCGCGCTTAGCGCGGGTTCCAGCTAGTATATATAAGTGTCAGTGTGCAGCACTGCAGCGGCAGCAATGGCGCTTGGCGGCAGCCAGTGTTTGTTGTAGATGAGCATTTGGACGGCATTTACAGGAAATTGTCGGCAATAATAGGTAAAAGAGAGTATAGAAACATTAAGACTTTGGTAGTAAATAGATTTCGTATTTATTTAGCATTATATTTTATTGAAACGCTTCAAGTGCCTGTGGCTCGGGTGAGGTCTGTCGTGTAAGCTTACCGCCAATGTTCCATCATCGTTATTATGATTATTCACGCGATCAAGCTGACGATGACCAAAATGACGATGACGACGACAACGACGACGATGATGATAATGATGGTGATCATGATGATGATGTTGATGATGACGATGACGATGATGATTGCGAGCCGGAACCAGTTATAACATCTGCGATATCCGCGGCTCGTGATTGGCTGCGCGATGTGACGTAGGCACACAGCCGGCAGCAGCAGACGATCGGCTGGCTATCTGTTTTGGAATTCCACTGGCGGAGCGAGAACTGGCGCGGTGACTCATCGAGAGCACCAGAAACAGTTCGGACTGCGCACGATCACAGCGACACGCGCATAGAGCCACACTGGGCTAACGCAGCGACTCGCCGCAGAGGTGAGTGAAGGCACGCAGAGAAACGTATAGAGACAAGCATAGGCACGCTGAGACACGCTTGAGGCGCGTAAAGACGCGCAGAGAAACCTATAGAGACAGGCAGGAACACGCTGAGGCACGCTTGAAGCACGTAAACACGCGCAGAGAAACGTATAGAGACAAGCAGGAACACGCTGAGGCACGCTGAGGCACGTAAAGACGCGCAAAGACAGGCAGCGACGCTCAGAGGAACGTGGGCGATACAGGGCGACACGTTGAGACACGTCGAGACACACCTTGAGACAGGCAGAGACGCAGCAGCGACACGCACAGGCACGTACGTGAAACAAGGCGACGCAATTGAGACACGTAGAGACACGTGGAGACGCCTCAACCGAGACGCGCAGTGAGACGTGCGCTGACGTCGCTCGTGTCGTCGCAACCAGCACTGCGTACAGCACAATACATACACACGCGAACTCTGCCGTGCATCCTGGTGGAGCGCGGAGGCTGTGTATCCCATAACGGATGCTGGTGAGTGCGTGCGGACGCGCACGCACACGCATGTACGCACGCACGCGCGCGCACACGTCGGCCGTACAGAGCGATAGAGACTGGTGAAGCGGTGCGCGCTGGCTGGCTGGCTGGCTGGCTGATGCAGGGAGGCAGCCCGTAGAGACGAGACCGACAGCAAGGCGAGCTGCGTGTGGACATAGACACAGCTGGTGCCCGACGGGAACGTGGTGTGTGTAACAGGGAGAGAGAGAGAGAGAGATAGGCAAACAGAGAGACTCGCGAGCGAGCGAGATAGAGAGAGAGAGAGAGAGAGAGAGAGAGAGAGAGAAGGAGAGAGAGGGAGAGAGATAGATAGAGAGATAGAGAGAGTGAGAGCGAGATAGCGAGAGAGAGTGCGAGGCAGAGAGATAGAGAGAGAGCGAGAGCGAGAGCGAGAAAGTGAGAGAGAGAGCCAGTTATTGACGCGCGGACCGCAGCCTCTCTACAATCTTTCGGCTCTTTCGCTCGAACCGTATTTCGTGCGTGCATCATTACTATTATCATCATCATCACCATCTCCAGCAAGAGCACCAGCAGCGGCAGCAGTGCCAGCACCACCACCACCACCACCACTACCAACAACAACAACAACAACAACAACAACAACAACAACAACAACAACAACAACAACAACAACAGCAGCAGCACTAGCACCACCAACAGCAGCAGTGCCAGTACCATCAACAGCAGCAGCAGCACCACCACCGACTGCAGCAACAGCAGCGACAGAACCACCAACAGCAGCAACAGCAGCAGCAGCAGCAGCAGCAGCAGCTGAGCTCCGGCTCGCTTCTTCACCATCGCTTGCCACATCGATTTCGCCTGTCCGAGATATCTCCGCTGACAACCGCCGCCGCCACCGCAGCAGCAGCAGCAGCAGCAGCAGTAGTAGTAGTAGTTGCGGCAGCACCATCACCACCACCAGCAGCAGTAGCAGCAGCGGCGGCTGCAGCAGTAGCAGCAGCAGCAGCAGCAGTAGCAGCAGCACTAGCAGTAGCAGCAGTAGTAGCAGCACCGTCGCTACCAACAGCAGCAGTAGTAGCAGTAGCAGCAGAGCCCGCACCGCGGAGTACAGCAGAGCAGCGAGCAGCGAAAGCAGGCTCGGCAGCAGAGCCGATCACCATGGCGTATCTAAACTACACGACCGAGGTGTATCCAGGAGCCGAGTCGATCTTCCCAAACACAGCCTACCCTGAGCGGCTATCCTTCGACAGATCGCCGCAGTCGTCCTTCCGCCGGAAGAAGACGCGGCGAGCGAGAATGACGACAAGCGCTCGGTGAGCCAGGGTAGTGTGTGTGCGTGTGTGTGTGCGTGTGTGTGTGTGTGTGTGTGTGTGTGTGTGTGTGTGTGCGTGTGTGTGTGTGTGTGTGTGTGTGTGTGT